TGCTCACTTTTTTAAATTTTATTTCAAAGTATAATTTTAATTTTTATACAACTAAAAGCAAGACATATTTGTAAAGACAAAATGGTTACCATGGCACAATGTCTGTCCCCTTCAGATTTTATTTTTCAAGATTTACACCAGTAGATAAGCTCCAGACTTCCATACCATGCATGAAAATATAAATGTAGCAGTAGTCTGAATGCAAAACAGTTCCCAGAAAAGAAGTCAGCATCAACAACATGCAGCACTATGAGGTGAAAAGCTGGAAATCTGAAGTACAGCATGGCACTTTTAAGGTACCATGCTGTACAACAAGAAGTGATCGCCCGCGTCAACATGAGTGCTGCAAACACCAATCAACCTGAGATAACATCACAGTGCTGGCACTGTGACATCACATGATGGCGTGATCACATGACATCATAATCTGTGTCCCATGACTGGTGTTAACAGCCCCTTCCAAATGATAATTTATTATGATTTGGAAGGTTCTGTTAGCGTTAGTCACAAGACACAGTACATTTCGCTCAATTACTCATGCATGTATGTGACACCTAATCGTGAGTACTAGTATGATCGCTGCCATCTATGAAGGTTACTGGCAATCATTTGGAGCAGCAATTGACATTTCTCTAGCCCTAAAAAAAAAACGAAAAGTTATGCACCAGTTTTCTTGCTGCCCTTACTCCTCGGTATTACGAACGTCCGGAATTCAAAGGCTGCCAGCTTGGCAGAGCCACATTTAAATTTGCAGAGGCTGTGAAAGGATTTGATGGGTACAGCAAATGCTAATCTGGACTTGATTGTTTGCTCAGTGGGGTAATTCGGAATAGTACTTTTATTGAAATAGCAGTGCCCATGTTCCCTATGCATGATTTAGGCGAGTTCAATGTATTGTTCATATTTTTTTTTCTAAATGTAGGCCTCTATTTTACTGTACTAAATTTGGTTTTTCATGATAAAAAAGTAGTTTTTTTTCCTGTAACCTACTCCAAATTTAAATTTTCGTGCTCCAAAAGTAACATTTTGGTGCTCCGAAAATTGCTCCGAATTCTATTTTGGCTGCTGCAGCCCTGCGTTTAAGGCACAAATTCTCGGCTTGCTTGCAAGACTCCTTCGATCAGATATAACAACGGCGTGCACGCGTTGGCCTGGCTCCACATATCTATCGCCGGGACGACGCAGCTTCAAGCCAGAAAAATTATTTACCTGTCGTTGATATGGCAACCAATGTGGTCGCTGGCAACGGCGGCGTTCGCAGCACATCGACCTTGTTGGTACGCGCAAAACATGGCATACTTTCCTAACATGCCATAACCGTGTTTGCCGACTAAAAATTCATATACCGTGAAACATTGGTGCCTGCGCCAACGCTTTTTTTTTTTTTTTTGCTTGAAGTTCCGTCGTCCCGCTAATAGGTAGGTATCCCTTGCAGTCAGCAGACCAATGGGCGCGCAGCATAGTTACTTAATCTTATACTTGACCAGGTCAATCGCGTCTCGATCGAGAGTGTCCTCACCTAACGAGTATATAACTTACACCATGGTTCAAGATTAGGGTCTGCGCGCTGGGTTTGGTTGATGGCGCAAAACGTAGGTGGCCAATGTGGACTACATTTATCGCTGAAATTGGCGCAACTGAGTAAATTTTGAGACTGGTCGGGTATATTGGTGCGGCGCGGTGCAATTACAGTAAATTTCATGGTTTTGGCGCAGCTCGCAAAACAATGACGAATTGTATCAAAATTGACATAGCTGTTGCACCCCTGTATTATGCTAACATGCGCTATTAGCTAATAAAGTAAATTGGGAAAAGTACTTTGGCTTGGCCCATCTGTCGTGAAAGCCTGAGCAAGTGCTACTCTATCTACTGAAGAATTCCTGGTTCACATCCGCTATTTCCCAAGGTAAAGTTCCACAAAAAGACTGGTGCAGAGTGAATGGGAGCTACATATGCATACTGCGAAGCTAAAGAGTAGCTGCCAGCTTTGATGCCCTTGTATAATGGACAAGCATAATTGAAAACCAGCAGACAATAAAAGGCAAGAAAAGTATAGGGGGTATTCTTAATTGTCCTGTTTTAAGTTTATTGTAGTAACTCAGGGTTTTACCCAATTTGATTTTTCCAAATTTTCTTTGACTTTGCCAGGTTTTCCGTGATGATTAAAAGCAAATTCTAGGACCATCACACCTGCTTGCAAAACTATGTGCACTGAAAAGAAACCCTCGAGTGGTTAAAAAAAAAATGAGGTACTCATATATAAGTAAACATATTTACCACACACGCTCACAATGTTCTGAGCGCATGCAGTAAATATAAAAAAGTATGTACATCTGGCCAAAATAAAACCTCTAAGCCAGGCAGTGATAAAAAGCCATGCGCCGGAGCGCATGACTTTTTGACACCGTGCCACGCCCTCTCCCTATGGAGAGAGAGAGAGTGCATGGCTATGCAAAGCTGCACTGCCCTCTCCCTTCATTGGGAGAGGATGCAGCGTCGCATCATAAAGCCAAGCACTGACGGGCAGCAACGCGCACATGTAGTCAGACCTTTTAGAAGTGCTGCAATCTCGCGCAATCCGTGTAAAAGGAGGATGCCGGAGCCTGGCCGGTTTCAACACTGGAGTATATGCCCAAGTCACTTAGCATGTGGATTGGATTAAATTAGATCGACCGGGACTACTCTATTTACTGATTTTACTATTTAGAATGTGGATTTTATTATATCTGATCTAACCCGATTTGCTGTACTTACTATCTGAAATATACTTTTCAGCAAGAAGAATACCTACTATTTGCGCATTCTGACAACTAATGACAATTTCTTAAGGACGGCACCATACTGCAAAACTTTTTCTTTCTTGGTGGAATAGAGTTTAAGACACTGACATCTGAATATGCGGTGGCAAGAAGGAATCTCTCAGGTCGCAACGGCTTTGTAAATTCCATGGATAAATCACAGATGCGAGCACGTTCTATGGATAAACCAAAAAATGTGGACACAAAAAAATATTCACAGATTTAGTAGCACCATCTCGAAAAACTGAATGCTACCTTTGAAATGCAAGCTACCAGCAATAAGTGTGTAGCTGAGGTCATTTGCCATTCCTTTGCCAATAATAATAACAGTAATATTCCTAATAATAAAAGGCATGACATAGCCTGGCAAGCCTCTGTTGGTGGCAGTTCTGGCCTATCCGGAAGACCTTCAAGCCAAGCTGAAATCGTGGCCAAGACAAACATGCGATATGTAGAAGCAACAGCCATTAAAATATAGTGCATGTGCCATCATGAAATCTAAGGAATGCTTTCGTCAACGTGAGAAAGAAGTTGCCGAGCAGAAATTTCCCCAGTCTCCTTTATGCCATAGGCTGACACAACTGCGACAACCAGTACATCGGTGAGACTGTGGTTTCAACAAAAGAGTTAAACAACACGAATATGGTTTCATGAAACGACACATGGCCTCGAAAATCTTAGCTAAATATATGGAATCTACAGGCCACCAAATTGACTAGCCAAGTGAGCCCGCTTTCCTCAAAAGAAGCAGCTCGCATCGTGCCTGCACCTCGAATCGCTGCACATACAGACAACTACACAAATGCTGAACAGAAGTGACGCGACGCTTTCGAAAATGTACTCTCGGTGCTTACATCACGTACTTAGGCGTACCTAGATACGCTGTGCCTTTCCTACGGCTTTTATTGTGAACAAGGCTCCCATATCGGTGACGAAATGTCAGTAAACTTTGCATTTCTTGGTAGGTGTATACTTTCACATTTATACAAAGAAACAATGGTTATGCACTGCCTTTCCCTTTTTTTTTCATGCCTCTTCTAGCTGTTTACTGTAGTTGCAGCTGAAAGTGCAAGTTTTTTTTTTAAGTTTTAATAAATTGTAATGCTTATTTCTGTGATGTTCAAACAGACTGCCGTCAGTTTCCATGACCTGGCCAGGTTTTGCAGATATCCCCGGACTTTCACAGGTTGGTAGACACCCTGGAACTGTGATGTAGATGAGAAGAAAAGTGGACAAAAAGACAACTTGCCACCAGCAGGGACCAAGCCTGCAACCTTCAGATTACACGTCAAATGCTCTTGCCATCTGAGCTGAAGCAGCAATTGTTCCCTCATTCACTTTATGGGGTATTTATGAGTACACAAACACCAGGATTATTGACAACGAGAGTAGAACAGTCTTTCTTTGCCAGTCATTGGGACACTAATACTGCAGCTCCACAATCTGGCAACGCAAGTTTGTTGTAGTCACGTGATTGCTTGTAGCTAGAGTTTGACAGCCAAATGTCCTCCGTGACCCAAGCCACCACACATTTCGAACTACTGCACCGCAGCCTCTATCTTTTCCATAGTGTTCAAATTATCATGCATAGATGGCGACTTCATACGCTCCCAGATGGCCTGCGTGACGATCGTGTGTTCATTGTAGAACTTGCAAGTGCACGTGTATTTATTTGGACGGGTGGATAGTACGCGCGCATAAAGCTTTGTGTAAGGTTTTGTTTGATGTGTATTCAGTGCCAGGCATGTTCTTTGGTCTTGGTCATCCATTTATATCCTTACGGGAATTTGCGGCGAGCTAAACAGTGAGCTTTAGTAATTTCCCGATAATTAGCGACGAACGCGTCTTAGCATCAATGCTCCCGTCCTAAGATACTAATAGATAACAATATTGCCCCGCGACGGTGGTCTAGTGGCTAAGAAACTCGGCTGCTGACCCGCAGGTCGCGGGATCAAATCCCGGCTGTGGCGGCTGCATTTCCGATGGAGGCGGAAACGTTGTAGGCCTGTGTACTCAGATTTGGGTGCACGTTAAAGAACCCCAAGTGGTCGAAATTTCCGGAGCCCTCCACTACAGCGTCTCTCATAATACGGTGGTTTTGGGACATTAAACTCCACAAATCATCATAGATAACAATATTCACCGAATGTTACATACAACTTCACAGCGCTAAAGGACCACAATCACAATAGTTGTACTCACCCTGATCAAATGCTGCAAATATCAATCCAAACCTCGAGGACGCTGCAACCAGGTTCACGCACTCGGCAGGAACCGATTCGGCTCCGAGCGTAACGTTCACCGCACGTACAGGATGAAAAAGGAAATCCTGCCAGTCAAAACAAAAAAATGTGCACACGCGTGAATTTCACAGTCAAAATCGCTACTAGTCGAGCAGAAAAGACGATGCACTAGCCACTCACCGGGTTCGGTCGCATAGCTCCCTGCCCACATGCCATCTTGTGAGCAGCTAGATGTCACAAATCCATAGTATGCAGAAACACCCAACACTTTCAAAGGTTCCGAAAAAATGGGAGGAAACTGCGCGCGATGAATTTGACACGGCTTAAATTGACATAACAAAGTGAACGTAACTACAAGTAATCTTTTGAAATCATGGATGCGCGCAAGAGTGGCTGACAAAAAGGCTGCGTTATTGGCTTGCGTCTGGCCTATTCACCATTGCAACCTAAACTAATATTACAAAAAAATTGTTGAATACTATATATTTATTTCAATTTTTGTTTGTTTGAGCTACCATAAAAATTGCGAGATTTGTGCTGGTGTGCCCAAGAGTTAATTTTTTATGTCTTTTAATTGTACATTACCAAGAGGAGGCGTTGTACAATACCAACGCCTCCTAGATTTCTTGTGCCTGCCAGATGAGCGCGAAACGCCGGTCATCTATGGCGACGCTGCCTACGTAGGGGTAAGAGACTTTGTACCAAGGAGGATATAAAAACTTTATATCCTCCTTGCTTTGTACTCAGCCTTTAAGATCGGCAATTTCGGCATTTGCAACTAATATCAGAGGATGCTTTGTATTAAAAAGTTGCTTGCTGAATGACGGCGTCACTTACTTAGGGTTAATTATAATTACGTTTACGACTTTTAAACTTTTTTACGTTATTTTTGTTGCATATAAGCTCCAAAAACGTAAGGCAATGGCTGCTGCGCCGCGTGGCGCTGTAGCCATCCCCACACAGAAACGGCTTCTGCACTGCACAGAAGTGACGTCACAAAAATTGTCATGACATACGTCGTTTTCGATTTAGCGCGTTGTTCGAATTTACCGAATCGGAACGTGGCTCAGCTGGCCAGCAGACGCTCACTTGCTGCTGCTGCTGCTGCTGGAGTACGGCTGGTTGCTGCTTCTGCGAGCTGTCTACAGGCGTTGTTCTGCTACATATTCGCAAGCCTCGAACATCATCTAAGCTCAACCGCTTATTTTCACTGCTATTTTATATTTATTAACGTTGTTTATATCCATCCCAATACGTATTTTTGTGATTTTTCCCGTATAGGCTGATTTAGCAGTATCTGTGCGTGGCCCTTTCTTTGGTCATCCGTGTTAACGTGCTTCGTACCTGTGTCGTAGTGCATTTGCGTAGTTGACAGCCGTGTTTTAGATTAAATATTCACTTTCTTGTTTCTTTTTTTTTTTCATGGTGTAATTCTGAATTGAAAGTGTGCGCAACATGACGCGTGTGTTAGTAGCGGGCGATTCAATGGTGAAATACGTCGACCAGTATTTCCCATCGCGCCGTGGCTTGTCTGTTAGCGTTGCCGCACACAGAGGAATAAGGATTGAGCACTTGCTCTCAATGATTGCTGACAAGCTGGCCAGTTTTGATGTTGTCATTGTACATGTTGGCACGAACAATCACTGTTGACAGTGTCAACATGTGCATGGACAAATATCGCCAGCTCGCTCAGGGAATCATCGAAAGCAATCCCACGTTGCATGTAGCTTTTTCTGCCATTCTTCCTCGGGGGCAGAATCGGTACCGCCAAGGGGAAGAACAGTTGTGTGATGTTTGTCATTTGAATGACCACTACAGGAATGTGAATGCCGCACTCGCACAGCTTTGCCTGGAGAGGGGCTTCACTATCCTGGATAGTCTTGTGGACAGCTGGCCTGGATTCCTGAGCAGGGATGGTGTCCACCCCAGCCGGCTTGGCAACAAGGTGCTGGCAGACTTCCTGCACCGTGAGGCCTGTGCCTTGTCCACCCATCTAGAGAGGAGACACATCCAACAGTCCTACAAGGAGTCCAAGGCATCTGCATGGAGTGGGTGGGCTCGGCAGGAGCACTTTTCCATCAACTTGGAAGTCGATTTTCCAGCACTTGGTATGCATGCAGTTCAATATTCTCCAGCAGTAGGTGGACCTTCCGCTGCACCAGCTCCTGTCTGGAAAACCAGCAGTGCTCTCATGCAGAGACACGAGACTGACCAACTGGCCAGTACCATTCATGGTATTGGCTTTACACTTGTTGGCGGTGTCCACGTTCGCTGCAAGGGAAGCAAGGCTTGGTGGACCTGGGACAGCCTGCCTTCCCCCATTTTCCATGGCACAAGTGTACCATGCAAGGGAAACACTGGGGAGAGGCCTATTCAGCCAATGATCCCTAGTCGAGGTGCAAGCACCACTTGTGACAGGAAAATAAGGAGAGCCTCACAGGAGCATGAGAGTGCTCTTGTGCGCTCTTCTGTGGGGGAAGAGGAGGCCAGTGCTGGAAAAGCAGCTGTGCCACAGGCTGTCGGCCAGTGTGGCGACAGTGAGTGGAAACTGGTGCAGTCAAAGAAGAGCCGGCGGAAGGCTGCGGCACTGCACAAGCAAGAACAGAGCTCTAAACTGTGTGCAGACAGTGAAGGCAAAGTTCTTGCTGTGACAGCTGCCAAGTCCATCAGGTCCACTTCACCTATGACAGCAGTTGTGAGCCAGAAACAGATTCAGTCTGCTTCTTCCGCTGTCTGTGGTAGAAAGCCTGAAGGACGAGCCAGTGTCTCGCACAGCGTCATTCGTGATAGTTTTAAAAAGGTGCAGCGTGTTCCTAGCAAGCAGTTGAAAGACTGCTCAGTTAGTTCCGCGACTCACTGTGAATCTGTCACGAATGACGCTGTGAACGAGGTTTCTGTCTGCAAAAGCCATCTACCAGCACTGACTCGGGATTGCATGCGAATTGAGCGCGATCCTGGCACAGAGGCTGGTGACCCTTTGGAAGCTGGGTGCACTGCAGCTGTGCAGTACAAGTATTGTGAGGCTGCTTTGACATCCAGAAGCAGGCCTGTCAGCCCTGGTGCCCAGGCTATTTGTGTAAACACTGGTGCCAACCCAACTGTCCTCAATAACCCAGTAAATACACTATATGGTGGGGGTAGCAAAGTTTATTTAAATGCAACATTTGATAACTTTCCTTCTTTTAAGAAAAGCTTTGATGAGTGGTGCAGGGAGGGCAGGCATGTAGTCATGATAAATAAGAGTAATAAAAGTCCATTTACATCAGAAGATAAGGACTTCGAGTATATTAGGATTAAATATAGCTGCATTCACAGTCGCACAATAAAGCCCAGGGGGATAGGAAAGTGACCAAAGCAAGCTTACAATGGTACTGGCTGTGAAATGACAGTATCGGTAAGCCTATGTAAATCGCCTACTCTGCACTACAAGATAACTAAACTACAAGCTAAGCACAACCATCCCACAGAATATTATGATTTGTATCCTCAGAAGAGGCTCCTGAATCATGGAGAAAAAGAATTCTTTGACTTAGCTAAATGTAATATTGGCGCAAAGGATTTTAAAAACTTGGTCAAGCAAAAAACTGGTAAGAAGTTAACTACAAAGGACATTAATAATTACAAGCAACGATTTTCTATTCCTATCCGCAATGAGCAGGCTCATGGTGAAATGGTTTTAGAGAAGGTAAAGACCTTGCTAAAAAATAATCCAAACTGGGTTATTCACTATGAAATGAATCAAAATAATAACCTGCGATTCATACTTCTTCAAACAACGCACATGCGTGAGATTTTGGAAAAGTATCCAGAGATTCTATTTATTGATGGAACGTATAAAGTGAATATTGAGGGTTATATTCTTTACTCTATATTAGTTCAAGATGGTCGTGGTCGTGGGAGACCTGTGTGTTATGCCTCCTTACGAAATGAGACGACTGAAATTGTTGAGCCCATGTTCACAAAGTTTGTAGATTTCAACCCATTTGTTGTGTCTTCTTGCAAAGTAGTGATGATTGATAAAGATCTCAATGAACTGCGCATTTTAACCAGTATTCTTCCTAATTATAGCATACTTTTGTGTACGTGGCATGTGTTGCATTGTTTCCAGCAAAAGGTTAATGAAAAAGCTAGACAGCAAAGTGGTCAGTTGCTTCCTCTCTTAAAAAGCTTAGTTTATTCCCCCACTGAGCAAGACTACTTGACTTGCACAATTTCATTTCTTACTATATGCATAACTGGCACTTGTGTAAGGAAATGTGGGTACATGCATATCGGCAAGCCCTTCCTACATTTGGTAATAATACTAATAATCGCATTGAGCGCCACAATCAAAAGATTAAAAATTATCTCTCTTCAAGCATGCATTTGGTTCAAGCAATAGAAGCATTGGTAGGTTACATCGATAATGATTCTTTATCTCTACAGTTCTCTAAGCTTAAAGAAATGAAGCTGAACCTAAACATAAATGATATAAATGACCCATTTCAGCTAGAATTGTCCCGTAATTGCTCTTCTGAGGCTACAAGTAAAGTACTAGAGCAGTATGAGAAGTTTAAAAATGTAAGTTATCAAGTCACTTCCACTCCTAATTCTTATGTTGTAGTTTCACCAAGATCACAGTACAGTGTTTCATTGTGCTTGGCTTCTTGCACATGTGCTTTTTATAACCAGTACACTCTGCCTTGTGCACATATTTTAGCAGTGCGTGACTTTACTAAGCAAGATCTTTTCGACAAGGCTTGCATACCAGACAGGTGGTGCAAGGATCATTTCCTGAGTGACAGCTGCACAACCACTAGTGCCACACCAGTGGTAACAAGCAGCATTCAGTCACCACCCTGTGTGAAGCTTGACACTGCACAAGAGAAGTATACTTATGCTTATAGGAGTCTTTGCGAAATGTCAAAAACCGTGGCTAACGTATTATCTAATTGTGGTGAGAAGGAGTTAATGGAAAAACTTTCGTCCTGCGAGGCTTTCTTCAGAAATTTAACCACATTTCCTCGTAACCAAACTTCAGCAGCCATAAAGGCTGCACCAGCTCAGTTAGCACAAACTACTGCCACAAGTTATCTTGGGCATTCTAACAGTACAAAACTTGTGGTACCTTTGGTTAAAGCAAGAAGGGGGCGGCCAAAAAAGTGAGAGCTGTCAAGCGTAAATTTTTCCCAAATCAAGTAAAAAAGGTAGGCCTTGCAACTGTTAAAGTAGACATGCTAAATGTCTACAAACGGTATTCTCTTTCAGATGCAGATTTAAATGTTCTGGTACAGGGCACCTCCATATCAGATAGCGTAATCAATGTCGCACAGTATTTAATTCAGAAAAAGTATCCTACTTGTGTCGGCTTTCAAGATGTCTTACTGGGCCGATGTTTACAATTCACTCAAATCAAAGGCC